CCTGTTTGCGTCTTCCCATGCCCAGCCCCTCTGGCGGCAGCTTCCTGCCTTGCTCCCCATGGCAGCTGCTGCCACGCAGCTTAGCCCAAATCGCAGCCGGCCGGGATCTCCGTCCGCGGTGCTGCCCGGGCGCTGCCGCCGCCGTTCCTAGCGGGACGGGGCCCAGGTGCCCCATGCAGCCGCATCCTCCTCCTGTAACCGCTCACGCGCAGGGCAGAGGCAAACCGTGGGTTCCCTTTCTGGCATCCTGGCTCCCCTGCTCCGGTTCTCGTGGCTGCTGCCAGCTCCTGAACACTAGCCTAGATTTTCTCCCAGAGCTGAATGTTGCCTTCCCCACTGTCGTGTTAAGTAACCATTTCATCTCGGCCCAGTCCAGTAGTGTTCATCTCTTCCCTGCTCTGCGGATTCCTGATACAAACTTGATTTTTTTGTATTGAACAGTGTACAGTGATGGAAACAAGAATGACTATCAAAGCAAACAATGCATGGAATAAAAAGCCAGTGTAACTTCAATGCTTCTCTTGCTGGTTTGATGCTGGGGGGACGGTCTGTGGTCTGCTTGGGGATAAAGCCACCAAGCTGCCTGATACCTAATGCCCATGGGTGGCAGCAGACAGCATGTTTTGAGTTGCCTGGTGCTGAGCTCAGCTGAGCTCTATCTCCTCAGTGCAAAGGCTGAGTGGGGCACACGTAGCCTAGCGAGCACCTGGGTGTCCCTGGACCTTTGCTCTTGTCCAAGGAGCAATACCGCTGTGCAAGCAGATACCGGAATGAAAGGTAGAGGCGCTCTGCAGCAGGCCCCCAACACGAGAGTAGGTGGAGAACATCATCTTGCTGCAAGCGCTTACACACAGCTGAGTCATGGGAAGTGTCTCTGCCAGAGCTTGCAATAGCTCTCCTGGAGACAGACAAACAACAGGACCTGAAATCTTGCTATTTTTTTCCCAATTGGGTGATTATATGTGGGTTTGGGGGTTTTTTTTGCATTTTAGGCTAAAAAAGCTGAATGCTTTTGGGTGCGAGAGGGCTGAGGGAGCTAATAAGCGCAGACAGGAGGTGGGAACTGCTGCCATGAGGATGACGGGGATGGACAAACAGCCCCGGCTCCTGCTGCACTGCCCAACAGGACTCCCTGGTGCTGCAGCTCCCAGGCGCCCGCAGGAGCAGGGGGCAGAGGAAGAGCCCCGCAGGCTGCTTGGGCTCTTCCTCCCCACAGGGCCACTGTGCCCAGGGCAGCTGCACAGGGGGAGGCAGAGGGACCCGGCCTGCAAGAGGGAGGTGAGGGGCAGGGACTAAGGCTGCTGATCCCCCTTCCTGAAGGGATCAGGCTTTCTTCCCCCCTCATTAACAACGTTGTAAGCGGGGCGGCAGCACTGCTGAGCACATGGAAGACGCAGGCTTACATAAGACACAGGCACTGTAGCTAAAATGTTCATAAAGCCCCTGTATAACTCACAGGGTGCATACAGGCATAGTTACAATTTAAAAGCAACCTCCTTGCACCTCCTCTCAGAACAAGAGGCGTAAACACGGTGCGTGGCCCGAGTCCGAGGCGGCGCAGAGCAGCCCAAGCGGAGCCCCTACGAGGGGAGAGCTGCAGCTCCTGGCAGCCGGCCCCCCGCAGCCTTCACGTGCTCTTTTTGCCATTGACCAACAGAGCAGGCTGGTCTGTCTCCAGTTTCAGGTGCTTCTTGCCATATCGTTTGATGAGGGCCCCAGGCACGAGTGCCACCAGTGCCATGGCCAGCAGCTTGAGCAGCGTGTCCCAGGAGAAAATGGCATCCAGAGAGCTGATCTGCGAGAGAATGGCACCCGTCTGCACACAGATGAAGTTATACGGCGTAAGACCTGGAAGAAGCGGAGCGAGAAGGCCGGTCAGCATCCCCCTTACCTCCCTGCGAGAAGTGAGGATTAGTTCAACCCTCCCTACCCCTTCTCCTAGGTCAGACACGGGTCTGAGATGGCAGGAGGTGGGTCAAAGCCCTGCTCTGCCTCCCCGTCTCAGCAATGCCAAGAGCCACCCTGGACCCTTACCAATGAGGACAGAGAAGAAGAACTGCACCACGGGGATGTTTACAATGGGGGCTGAGAGGTTCAGGAACCAGTTTGGCGTCATGGGGAAGAGCCTGAGGAAAAGCAGGAAGAAAAACAAGCAGCTCCTGTTCTCCTCCACCTGCCGAGGGAAGCGACCCGCGTTAGGGCTACGGCAGCACAGGCCGCATCACCGGAGGCCTCGCCAGTGGCTGCCCTCACCTTTTCCCGCCGC